GTCATATGGATGATGCTGACACAGAGATATATATACAATGCACACTAATATAATTGATTCTATTTAATATATTGGCTCAAATGTCTGCTATTTGTGGATGGGACAATGACAGCGACTCTTAGAGCTGTTTAGGTTAGATAAAAAGCCAGGTGAAGCAGTGTGATTTGCTTAACAGCAAAGATGACACTATTCTATTAAATATACAGTCATGAGTCTCTTTTACTGAGCAAAGTGTAGTTATAGTATGTTACAAGTGGGATTATTTTTGTAGTTTTTGACATCTTTTTTGCAGGAAGCAAAATGTTTGTAATGATTACTGAATTCTGAGCAACACATCCTCGTATTTAAAGGTCACATATTTTACATTTTTCCTGTGTTCTATTTGAAGTGTTGATAGATAAGAAGATATATTTGTGGTTTTAAGAACCAAAAACTGTCTCATGTGGTTTTACATCTCCTCTCTCAGGCTTCTCGCTGGAGCTCTAGCAACAACTGGTCAGTCAGCCAATCAGAAAAGATGAGGCTCTGAGCCTCTCTTCTGATTGGCTAACTGTTTTCTGAGTGATCCAATAAAAATATAGCAGATTTCAGGTAAACAAAAATCCTGCAAGGTTGGATGGTGGGTCCAGGTGGGCAGGGCTTGGCGCATGGCTGAGAGCAGTGACTGCTTTGTTGTGACATCACAAAGTTACAGAAGTCCTGATGGCTGGTTTTAAGGCTCAGTGTCTGAATACAGGCTGTGTGCATTTCTCTGTGGACTGAGGCTTTGATACTTTAACAGTATTAATATAGAACCTAGACCTGCTTTATAATCAAACAACACATGGACATCTACCTTTATACTATATTGTCACATTATATTGCTACATGCAATTGCCATTGCGGATGCCCCTCATTCTTTGGGATCTTTCATTCAATGGAGGACATGGATTATCTCTGCAGTGCAGCTTGTGACCTGCCAAGCAGGAGCTACATCACACAGATGACAAGGGTCGCAGCTCTGTGCCAAACATCTTAGAGAGGGAGATGGCTTGTCAGATAGGCATGGCCACAAGCGTTCTTAGAAGTGCTTGCATGACCAACACCACAGTTCTAAACAGGATCCAAAACATGATGAGGAAATTCAGGATCCTAAGCAGTCTGTTACAGCCGCCGATGGAGGCAGATCAGATACACAGCTTCAAATTCTGACTGCTATTCCGAGTCTGTCAAAGAGGAATGACAGGTTTGAAGCTCATCTGTCTTGTTCCTCATCTTTACCTCCTGGCCAGTAATGTGTTCCTCCACTTGGGCTTCTGTGACATGGGGTAGAGGACGCTACAGATGAGGCAGGCAGGTTGTCTCTTTTTATCTCCCTATCTTTTTGATGGGGTGCAGCAGTCATAAGGGGACGGCCACCTGTTGGATCCTATTCAGATACTGCAGTCATAGATGCAGAATCATCAGACCTGCTTTATAATCAAACAACACATGGACATCTACCTTTATACTATATGAAGCCTTTAAAGGATTCAGGATTTTTTTAACCTTATTTTCCCACGTTTTGGGTGTAAATGATTGAAACGGACAAAAATCTTGGGATCCTAGAATTTATGTAGTATTTAGCAACAACAGTATACCTGGTATACCAGTATACCTAAACATCACTGTATAATCTGGTGATGCTGATCTGATCTTGGACCTGTAGACCAACAAGAAAAAAACTAAACACAGCAGCAATGACTCAACTTTGTTTTTGAAAAAAAATGAAAAAACTTTTCTGGTTCCTAATTATATCATATGCGTATCCCATGACCAAATTTCCCATGCATTGTTGATGATGTGACATCAAAATGACTTAAATAGAATTTAATAAGATAATATAATTCAAACTGTGTTTTTGCTCGGCGCCACTCACAAATGTGTCCTTGTTCCCAGTTTTGTTCACACAATTATACATGAGCCTTGATATTATCGTTCAGAAAAAGTGAAATACAGCTGAGTTTTTCTATTTGAAACAGATCTGCTCCCAGCAGAGGATGCGATAAGACAGTCTGGATTCTATTTTTATGAGAGGAGGTTCACAAATTAAATCAACTGACAGGAAGTGTTGAATGTTAAGTTGGTTGACAAAAACCTCTTTGTGTGTTCTGACAGCTCCCTGTGCCAGCAGCAGTGCTCGCATTGATGTACCATGAGAGGTTGCTGCCTTGCTTCATGAACAGTCCACGTCTCCTGGACAGGGACTCTCTGTCCAGCACGAGCCCCACTGGGGACAGTGGCCATGGTAATGCATGTATATGTGTGTGTGTGTATGTGTTTGTGACCAAACTATGCAAATGAAGTGACAAACTTCTTAGTATCCTTGTCCTTCTAGGACATGGGAATGTGTTTGGTTGCTGTAACCTTGAGAAACTTCGTGGTCGCCCTGCTTCTTTCTTCATCCTCCATGCTCTAGGTGGAGCCATCCTCTTCATCACTGATGGGATTATAGTGAGACTTCCAGCTAACACTACACACATATATACACATACACATTTGATGCTATTACCTGTGTCAAAATGTGAGGTGTGCAGGGGTGTAGGAGAACTGAAGAGGTGTACAGAAGTCTGAGACATGAGGTGAAGACTCTGGTGGTCTAAAAACAAGAGGAAATTAATGTCAGACTTGAAAACCGCTGTGTTTCTTGGCCTGTAGGGCTCGTATGCTGGTTTCGTCTACACCTATGCTGTCTCCCCTCCTCTGCTGATGGGTCACAAGACTGCTGGCTGTCTGGACAGTATATTCTGGGCATCCATCACAGCAGGAAGACTGGCTTTCATCTACCTGTCCTACCGATACACAGCACCCAGGTTGCTCACCTTCAGTCTGGTATGAACACACACTTAAAGTAAATACAGTAGTTGACATTACATTGTTTATCCCTGATGATTTGCTTCATTCATTTCTTATTTCTTCCACATGATGCAAACTACATAGAAGTATTGGTCAGTTTTGGGTGGAATTAACACCAGTTATCCAATAATTCAATCATTTTATGAGATAAAACACAACATAATCTGTAAGTCACTAAATACATCTTCAAGGAAATGTAGTGCAAGATTGTGGAAAGTCATTTATTTCAAGAATAAATTAAAGTCCTTATGTCCACTAGTACCTTTCTTGTTGGGAAAGATGTCTCAAACTGTTGTGTGTGCAGTAAACATGGACAGGGTTGTGTTTTAGATCTGTGATGAGTAATTTTTTTTTTGAGTCATTTAACTGAAGAATTCTACTGAAGATCTAATCACAATATTCATTATTACATGATACTCCTTCTGTGATTACAACAAAGGCACATCAGTGAGGGAACCATGGATATAATTAAGTTTCATATGCCACATGTCACTCTCAGACAGAGCAAAGTAATTTGTTAATATCCATTCAATATTTCGAATCAAAACGATATCTCTTGTGTAGGTAAATCTTGTGGTTCAAAAATGTATGGGGACAGCCACCTGTTGGATCCATTCAGATACTGAAGACATAGATGCAGAATCAGCAGTCGTGGGGGCATTTCCCTCAAATGTAGTTACAGCACCTAAGATCTTCCCCAACCCCTATTAGGGATGATTGGGAGGGAATTTCACGGGCTCTGTCTCGTCCTTGCACTCCAGTGGTAGAGGACTACTTTTTGATGCCTAGAATGGGTTGGATGCCTAGAAACGTTATTGTGTTTTGGAGCTTGTAGCCTCCATGTTTTCCATATGTGTGCCGAAATAGCTCAGTTGGGAGAGCGTTAGTCTGAAGATCTAAAGGTCCCTGGTGCGATCCCGGGTTTCGGCAGTGTGTTGTGTCTGTTTTCTTGACTTAGTGGTTAGTGCTGTTGACTCGTATCACTCTGGGGCCCTTTTCTGTTAAGACTCCTACATGTATTCACATAGTTTCTGACCGTCACTACAGTCAAAATGGAGTGTTAACCCCCGGTCCGCCACTTCTGCAGACCATATGGTAACAAAGTCATGGCCATAACCACAGGCAGCTGAACCTCCCACACTATAAAAGCAAGGTCAGCTTCTTACTTGTCCTCTTTGGACTTCGGATCTCAAAGACTTGGTACAGGTAGGAAAATGGCTCTAGTGATTCAATTGTTCAATTCATCATCCATGGGGGCATGTGTCCTTGGGAATTGTGGTGGTTTTTGTCACATTGTTTTGCTACATGCAATTGCCATTGCAGATGCCCCTCATTCTTTGGGATCTTTCATTCAATGGAGGACATGGATTATCTCTGCAGTGCAGCTTGTGACCTGCCAAGCAGGAGCTACATCACACAGATGACAAGGGTCGCAGCTCTGTGCCAAACATCTTAGAGAGGGAGATGGCTTGTCAGATAGGCATGGCCACAAGCGTTCTTAGAAGTGCTTGCATGACCAACACCACAGTTCTAAACAGGATCCAAAACATGATGAGGAAATTCAGGATACAAAGCAGTCTATTACAGCCGCCGAAGGAGGCAGATCAGATACACAGCTTCAAATTCTGACTGCCCTTCCGAGTCTGTCAAAGAGGAATGACAGGTTTGAAGCTCATCTGTCTTGTTCTTCATCTTTACCTCCTGGCCAGTAATGTGTTCCTCCACTTTGGCTTCTATGACATGGGGTAGAGGACGCTACAGATGAGGCAGGCAGGTTGTCTCTTTTTATCTCCCTATCTTTTTGATGGTGTGCAGCAGTCATAAGGGGACGGCCACCTGTTGGATCCCATTCAGATACTGCAGTCATAGATGCAGTCAGCAGTCATTGGGGCATTTCTCTCAAATGCACTTATTACTACAGGCCTTTCTGCATCAAAAATAGTTGGCCTGGAACTTGTAAGATCTTCCCCAACCCCTATTAGGGATGTCTGGGAGGGCATTTCACAGGCTCTGTCTCTTCCTTGCACTCCAGTGGAAGAGGACTACTTTTTGATGCCAAGAGTGGGTTGGATGCTTAGAAACGTTATTGTGTTTTGGAGCTTGTAGCCTCCATATTTGGTACGTGTGCCGAAATAGCTCAGTTGGGAGAGCGTTAGACTGAAGATCTAAAGGTCCCTGGTTTTGATCCCGAGTTTCGGCAGCTGCTGGACCCGTTTTCAGTGAAGCACTAATTTCATGATTAAGGTTGTTCATTTGTAATAATCACTGGGGTTCTAATGAATATTATGGCCCAAGCTGGAAAACACAGTGCAACACTACAATATAAAGAAAGAGAATCCCCACCTTTTCATAAACAGTAATTAACATACATGACATGCTTACCTCTGGAATTCATTATAACATATTGCTACTTATTCTTTGGTTACAACAAAGAGACACCAGTGAGGGAACCGTGAATATAATTAATTTGAATGTGCCACTTGTCAGTCTCAGGTAGAGCTAGGTGCTTTGTAAATATCCACTCAGTATTTCAAATCAAAACGATAGTTGGCAACTCATGTGGTTTGCGAAATTTAGACTAAAAACTTCCTGTGTTTCACACAACTTAGCTTGCATTTCTGCAACCTAGAGTGCCGAAATAGCTCAGTTGGGAGAGCGTTAGACTGAAGATCTAAAGGTCCCTGGTTCAATCCCGGGTTTCGGCAATGTGTTGTGTCTATTTTCTTGACACATTGCCTTAGTGGTTAGTGCTGTTGACTCGTATAACTCTGGGGCCTTTGTCTGTTGAGACTCCTACATTTATTCACGTAGGTTCTGACCTTCACCACAGTCAAAATGGAATGTTAACCCCCAGTCCGCCACTTCTGGAGACCGTATGGTAACAAAGTCATGGCCATAACCCCAGGCAGCTGAACCCCCCACACTATAAAAGCAAGGTCAGCTTCTTACTTGTCCTCTTTGGACTTCGGACCTCAAAGACTTGGTGCAGGTAGGAAAATAGCTCTAGTGATTCAATTGTTCAATTCATCATCCATGGGGGCATGTGTCCTTGGGGATTGTGGTGGTTTTTGTCTCTTAGATGCGACAAAAGTTGGGAGTTGGGAGAGTGTTAGACTGACGATCTAAAGGTCCCTGGTTCGATCCTGGGTTTTGGCAGCTGCTGGACCTGCTTTCAATGAGGCACTACTTTCATGATTATGGTTGTTGATTTGTATAATCACTGTGGTTCTAATGAATATTGTGGCCCGAGCTGGAAATCACAGTGCAACACTACCATATCAACAATAAAAAGAAAGAGAATCCCCACCTTTTCATAAACAGTAATTAACATACATGACATGCTTACCTCTGGAATTCATTATAACATATTGCTACTTATTCTTTGATTATAACAAAGAGACACCAGTGAGGGAACCGTGGATATAATTAATTTGAATGTGCCAGCGTTAAGAGAGAGTATGTTAACAGTGATGCACATGATTCCAGGATGTAGAACCTCCCACACTGTAAAAGATAATAACCTCACTCCAACCTTGTATCTTTTAACTTAGATGTTGTCAAGACTAATAGCAGCCTTGAAGTTGTGTTTATTGCAGCCACATTCTCGTTTTACATGGCCGGGCTTGCCTTTATCTAAAATCATTCAGAACATATGGATATCCTGCTTTTGTCTACAACCCATTTTGCTTGATTGGAGCAAGTTAATACATATGTTTCTAGCATTACTAGATGGGACACACACAGCCTCAAGAAAGTATTTCTGTCTATCTTATCTTATACCCTGCATACATCGAATGGACTTTTGATGTTCTCCCCGCATTCAAATGGATTTCCTTCCACCCCATAACACAGGCACATTAGAGAAATTAACATTCCCTTGCTCTTCTTTTTGGGTTGTCAGGTTTTGCAATTGCGCAGATTTTTGTGCATGCTCATTCACTCACTCACTCGTTATATCTGTGTCCATCTCTCAGGTGGGAGTCATGCTGGTACAGTGCATGTTGTTGATCTTCTACACAAGCTGTGTGTTTCTGTTCATCGGTACTTGCATGTTGGGACTGTGCATCAGCAGTGTGTTTCCCTCTGTGCTGGCCTTTACAGAGGACATACTAGACTACAAAGGTTAAAAAAACACACATACAAATCCTGACATACACACCATCAATATCAATTCATCTTAGAATTCATATACTTTATAGAGAGAAGTAAAAATACCTAATTGATATATAAATGTAAATTTAAAAAAAAAAGTTGAAATAAATAACTAACTAAATAAATAAATAATGTTGGTACGTGATCATAAAATTAAAAAAATAAATGTCTTTAATTTATTTCTACATTTCATCAGATCTACATGTATTTATTTCTGTATTTGTATTTTTCTACACATACATAAATAGATGTAGAAATAAATTACCAATATTCATTTATTTATTCATATAATGGTGTATTGACAATATATTTCGGTATTCATTTATTTGTTTATTTATTAAAAAATATTGAATTGAAATTAATTTAGCATTTATATATTCATTTAACTATATATTTTTATATCCATTTCTGCTACTATTTATTTGATTTATTATTATTATTATTATTATTATTATTATATATTTCATCATTCAAAATATGCATTTGTTATTGAATTTATTTTTGCATTTATTTACGTATTTACTTTATTTTGTCTCTTGTGTGTTGAAGGTTGTGCCACAACTGTCCTGGTGACCAGTGCCAGCACAGGGGAGATGATGCTACAGCTGCTTGTTGGATCGGTAAGAAGCCTTTTATGACTGTGTGTGAATGTGTCCTTTTGTTTGCACTAATGATTAAATTCATCAGAATGTTTCCTCATTCAGTGTTTCCGCTCAATTTTTTCAAGGTTATTTCTGCATTTGTTTGTTTTCATGCATCAGTTTTATTTGATTTGCTTCACTGTGCTGTGTACCTGGCTGCCTCATTATTTTGCAACAGGCTTTCATGTGTCAGTAATGCACATTTTGATGAACAATTAAAGCAAAAATGTATGGAAACCCTGCTGTGGACCTTGTCAGTGTGAAACTGTTTCCACAGCATTCAGAACCTGTCTGCAGCAGGGCGTTATTGTTACCATTAGTGACCTGCTGTGCTGGAATGAATGAAGAGGAAACACTGCGACCTGTGGCTGCCAGTTCTGTATTCATATTGCTTTCCAGGGTGATTGGAGGGATTAAAACTCCACTGTGTGTGTTTGTGTGTGTGTGTCTGTGTGTGCGCGCGCACGCGTGTGTGTGCAGGTGATCCACAGTCGGGGCAGTTACGCTTTCCTGTTGTGTTGTACAATAGCCTCCTTCATCGGCTTCTGCCTTTTCCTGCTGCTCCTCTATGTCCAGCGGATCCACACAAAATGCCACACAGGTAAAGACACACCAGGTAGACACATAGAAAGAGAATGAATGAAATTCCAATAACACTCTGGACTTAAGGAATAAAAATTCAGTGTATCTGGAAGAAAAAGTTCTTTAGAAACACCAATGTCATATAGGAACAGGAGGCTGTGGTGGAAAGAGAACAGGCAGCAACACAAACAAAACTTGGAAGTGTACACAGAGTGCATCGGGGTGTGGGTTATCATTAGAAGAGATTATTGTCCCAGTGTTGTGAGATGTGATAGGTGGCGAGGCTAGCTGTCAGTCGACACATTTGCTTCACCTGTTATAAGATTGTGACCTGAAGGCCACCGTAGGTCTTTCTACTTGCTCGGAAAGGGAGAGGTTAAGGGAGGGGTATTCAGTTAGTTGCAATGTGCAATCTCACAGCTAGGGCAACTAAATCCTACACACTGGTCCTTTAAGATAATTGTGTGTAGGTATGGCAATAATGGTGGGAAGGTTTTCCTAAGAGGATATAAAAAATGAACGGCACAGATGAACATCTTGCTTTTGTAGAACATAGAGTTTAAAGGTCCTGTATTCTATAAAGGCAGATGTCCATGTGTTGTTTGATGATAAAGCAGGTCTAGGTTCTATATTAATACAGTGAAAGTATCAAAGCGCTCAGTCCAGAGAAATGCACACAGCCTGTATTCAGAAACAGCCTTAAAACCAACCATCAGGACTTCTGTAACTTTGTGATGTCACAACAAAGCACTCACCACTCTCAGTCATGCCCCAAGCTACCCCACCATCCAGCCTTGCAGGATTTGGTTTCTCCGAGTGTTTACCTGAAATCTGCTATATTTCTATCACATCATTCAGAAAACAGTCAGCCAATCAGAAGAGAGGCTCAGAACCTCCTCTCTTCAGATTGGCTCACAGACCTGTTGTTACTAGAGCTCCAGAGAGAAGCCTGAGAGAGGAGATGTAAAAATTAATGGAGATGGTTTTTGGTTCAAATAAATAATCAAATAAAACACTGGAAAAATGGAAAATATGTGACCTTTAAATACGAGGATGTGTTGCTCAGTAATCAATAATCTCAGCTCAGTAATCATTCCAAACATATTGCTTCCTGCAGAAAGGATGTCAAGAACTACAAAATAACCCTACTTGTAACAAACTATAACTATCCTTTTGCAGCTGCCTCCTCACCTGAGTAATTTTCATACAGCCCCTCATAGTCATGTGGAGGAGTAACTGACATTTCAAAAGCTTCTTATCAGGATTTGTGAAATCAGAATGTTAAGTTTCATGTTTCACGTAAATGTTGCATTTCTTTGATTTGTTGTTGAACTTCATCAGCAACCTGCCGGATGTCACTCCTCTTGTGTTAATCTCTTTGCTGTGAGTCAACTGATCAACACTGTTTTTCTCTCAGATTCATCTATAAACACAGACATGACAGAGAAGCCAAGGACAGGAGGCTCATGATCTGAGGCTCCCTGAGGGACCAGAGTACAGTGAGGACTTGGAAAGGCAGCATGGAATGACATTCCCTCACTTTTCTCCAGTGCGAGTATGAGCTTCTCCAGATGAACATTTATGACCTAAAGGGAGGTCTACTTTAAAGCCTGATGATCAACAAGCAGTTCAATGCATGTACAATACTTGAATAATTGTTTTTGGCACAATCATTTTTAAAATTCTCATAGCACATAATAGCTCTGCTGTAGCTTGATTCAAAAGACACTTTAATTAATTAATATCTTTCCAGTATGAATGTGAATGAGCTGGAGAAGTAAATGGGTTCTGCCGTTAAAATATGACTCATCAGTGTGTATAAGTGGTGGTGGGAAGTGTTTTTGTGGTTTCTTGGTGGCAGAGTGGAGCAGTCAGGCATTAATAATACAAGATACAGTATAATGACAGAATAGAGAAGATGTTAGTTAGAGATCTTTTATTATTGGTCTCACCCATCTCTTCCATTATAAACACTTCCTCTAACACCTCTCATACATCAATACGCCACTTAAGACAAGTAGCTTGTAAACATTTGAAAAAGCGTCAAACAAAGAAAGAAGTGGACAGAACAAAGCAAGAACTGTGTCATTTCTTTTCCAAACAATATTTTACATTTCAAGGTAAGTTGAAGGAAAAATATCAGAGGATACAAATGAAGAAATATGCAAATGACAAGTCCAAGACGACTTGATGGAGGAAAGTTTTAAATGGACTTCTGAGGTCATTTTCAAGCTATTTAAGTCGTTTTTTTTAAAGTTAATGCAAAGATGCAATATAAGCGACCAATTCTATTGGGCTCAACTATAAATTCAAATAAATAAATATTGTGTGGTTGTGCCTAATTACAAATTATTGTAAATTCTTTGATATATACTGTAGAAGATTAGATTTAACTCTGTTTTGTGGTATAAAATATGAAGTGCATAATTGTATCCTCCCTTTGGGAAAATATACATTTCTCAGTAAGCAAACATCAACGTGTCATCAAAGAGAAAATCTGAGTCATACAAAAGCGACAGAATCCAATACTACAGGAACCCCCAAAATTTTAAGTGCAAACGTTTCATCACAACATCTGCGTGTACAATATCAACACTATATCAAAACACTTTACATATAAAACATAGATTTAGATTTCTCCCCATAAGGCTTTGATTCCCAAAAAAAGCCCATACCACCATGGGGTAGCCGCCTCCCAACTCCATAAGAGGAAAACAACAAAGAAACACATGCACAAAGAGAACATTAAATCAGAGAACCAAAAATAGCAGACATCTAACTATCTGGCCATTACAAAAATAGAAATTAATCTTAAAATTCTATTGGTGTTACAGGAAAATAAAAGATTACACAAAAATGATAAACAGGTTTATATATATATATATATATATATATATTTTCTGAGTAGATCTGTTATCACAAACATTTATAAGCAGGTTGGAAAGAGACATGGCCTGATTCAGTTACGCTGTTAATATGCTATGCATATTAACCCATGTTGCTGTCTGAATGTACAGTAATGCAACCTGAAGAACACTGCAGCACATTTAAGGTCCTGCAGTACATAAGCTGTGGCAGACGGTATGAGCTGCAGTGTACTCACACACAAAACATCCCTGTGAAATTTTACTCTGTACTTCTGGGGCTCTAGTTTGGTCTACGCAAAAATATGGCATAAAAACAAACAGGAACGCTGTCGTATACTGTTAGATCTGTACTAACTTTTAAATGATAGAACATCCACTTTTGGGAGAGAAACTTGGGCTTTGCTGTGGTAAGGCACCATATATCAATCTGATGGACTGCAGGTTGGGGAGAGGGGGACAATGTCTTTTAGTTGAGTAAAAGTGAGCATAAATTCCCCCCTACAAAATTCGCTGGTCATCCATCCCTGGGTTAGAAAGTGACACTTAGGTAAACGCACACACTAGTGTATTCAATCTAAGTATCGTGTAAACAAGTGTGTACAATGTACAATATCCACGTTTAATAGCATAGAAAGGTGGGATCTACCTTTTGAGTCTGTGCATCAGACTTATGGCTTCAGAGTCATATACAAAACAGGTGCAAACCTTTCATGGCTGATCATCTAGAGGAGCAGGTTTCAGGGGAAAGGAAGGTGCTTAGTTTCTACCGTCCACAGGATTAAAGGTTGATGTATGTCCGATTACTAAAGCGAGGCAAAGGTGAAAGCTAAACCATTTAAGTGTCTAGCTGCTAAGATTTGGAGGTTCAGTCTAGGTTTAAATAACTGCACTGACACTGCAAACAATAATTAATTAAAGCCCATTCATTTCCAACACTGAGCTGACCTGTAGACAATGAACAAGGTATACTGTGATTTTGCTTTATGAGGAACAATTCTGTATGGTTTTAGTTCCAGTCGGACTTGTTGGGAAATACACTCGCTTTCTGTACTGTAAATATATAGCTGGAGCCAGCAGTCTTAGCTTAGCTTAACATACAGACTGGAAACGGGGAGAAAGGTACTCTAAAGCCTTAAACGCACTAATATAATGTATTATGTACTGTTTTTAAACTTGAGGTTTTATACAGAATACAGTATTTGTGAAAAAGTCACTGGCTGTTTCCCCATTTCCAATATTTGTGCTAAGCTAAATTCACTGTACAGACATGAGCATGATTTATCAATCTTCTTATCTGACTCTCAGCCAGAAAACAAAGTGTATTTCCCAAAATGTCAAACTATTCATTGAAAAATTACCTATTCACTACAGCTTTAAACTTGAAAACTCAAATTGAATTCTGGCTGCCTCAAACAATGTAGGGTTTAGTTATAAAAGACAACATCAGAGCAGTAAGACATACAGGATTTGTGAGTTGCAGCTTGCAGAGACTCAGAGACAGTTATGGCTTCACTTTCTTTCATTCCCACCTGAAAGCTTAAAAGGTAGGAGGCAGACCAGGCCACACTGGCTTTCAGGGCTATTCTATTGTGTGTGTGTGTGTGTGTATATATATATATATATATATATACACACACACACACACACACACACACACACAAAAATTACAAAAGTTACATAGAGGCGTAATTCAAGGTTCAGCTCGGATTATGGCCACATCACGATAAGACAGTCAAGGTAAAAGTCCTGTTGGATATGTTCTTTAGTTAGCCAACATTTCAGAGCAGCTGAGGCAAGGCTTGACATCTAAGTTCAGGCTGAGAGCATGGTAGAAGATAAAAGAGTCACAGTTAAACATGCATGGTTGTCAGGTTAAAGCGCTTCCCTTAAAGTTACAAACGGAGCAAAAACAAAAAAACAGAATCAGTGTCGGCAGCGGAGAAAACTGGATAGGAACTGAGGACAGAAAATGAAAACGTATTTTTTTGGCAGTAACACAGTTGCACAAGATAAGGAAAAGGAAAGATTCAGATATCTGCAATCTCACTAGTCTGTGTGTCCAAACATGAAGCAGATTGTGGCTGCTGAGGGTCCAATCCACATGCACACTGTTGCCATGGAAATCCCTTCCTCCTTTGAATTGTGACTGAGGATCCCAAAAAGCCAGACAAAATGAATCCATAAGTGCAAACAGAACGACGGCATCACTGCATATAAGTGCAGAAGAGTATCTTCGGGGTTTAAATTCTATGAAATGAACATGAACATGTTACCCTCATCCATCAAACCTGTACTGCCAACATCTCTCCAGGTCCTCCCTCCACACAGCACATTGTAGTGTGAATAATGTGGCAGCGAAATTTAAAGCACCAGAGTGATGGGAAAGGGGAATGACTGAGCTTCCACATTACTGTCCTGGATGTGGGAGCAGGAGATGGAGGTGGAGGGGTGGAAGGGTGGGGGTCTGGCTGTCTGGGTCCAAATGGGGTGATTAATCCTATGTCTTTTGAGGATCTGGGGAAATGGGGCCTGGTGTGTTGGTCCCATCCATACTGTGTACAGGGATCTGGAACTGGGGGGTGAGGACCGACGGAAACTGGAACAGAGCAAAGTGAAGTGTTAGGACAAATCTAGACAGACTGACTGAATGATACTAGATGAGAGCAGAAAGAAAGTATATACTCTCATGTACTGACTTGGAACAGATGGGCTCCCTGGCGGCGTGTGGCTGGGCTGAGTGGAGCGACCGGACTGAGCGTGCTCCAGAAGTGGATGTTGGACAGCAGAGGACTGGGAGTCAGCAACAGAGTGGGAGTCTGGAGAGGAAGATAAACAAGACAGACTCATGTCACTTTCATTGCAGCGCTAACGATACAACAGAGATTTTTACAGATATAATGTACCAACACATATGCAAGAGAAATGTCTAGTTTGTCCAACAGAGAGCACTGACAGGTTTATTTTTCAACTGTAATGTCTGCTGCTCAGAACTTTGACCACAGTTCTTAAATAACCAATTTTCAGAGATTCTTATCAAAAATGTTTGAGAAATTTCAAACCACTATGTGCCTGGTTCCAGGCCTATGAATTACCATCGACAGCCATGGTTTGTTATTGATGGTATTATGCCCATCGATACCTCTTTCCACCACTTGGAGAACCAGTAAACAAATCAGAGTTGAGTAGACAGGATTAAGAATAGCAACCTGCATTTAATGTAGAGTTTCTCTTTTTACCCTAAACACTTACACAGCTTGTTTGGATGCTCTATAATCAACGGGGTATTAAATAATTTATGTGTTTTATGACCTCCATCAGTGACTAAGGCATTGTTAGGAACTGATACAGCTTTAAGCGGCTTGTGAAGACCATAAATTATATTGATCCACAGAACAACTGTCGCCTCTGTTAGTAATGTTGGCAGCGTCCTTTTGGCTCTCTCTTTCTGATGATGTGCTTTGACATTATAGGCTGTGCTGCTTTAATGAAAATGACTTATTTTGCTTCCAGATGGAACAGATACTAACAACAACAGGTTATCACTATGTTTGGATAAACAACAGATCATTCAACCTTTGGCAGGAAACTAAAAACAAGTTAATAAACACATCAAGTCTTACAGTTTATAGTTTGCACTTTTACCTAACGAGTTAAACAACTTGTTAGAGCACATACGTTGATTTTAACAATGTATCACATGCAAATTTTGAATTTCTCAAGGAACATATTCTGTTGTCGGCACACTCTCGCTGCTTGTCTACGTGTGTGAGTCTGTAAAAACAAACACAAGTGTATCATGAGCCTTACAGAGCTTAATGGTGCACCACATAGTCACAAAGTTTATGTTAATATTTTCAGTTTAAGGACCTGTTGCACTGGATCTATAATCAATTACTAACACGTGTATTAAGTGTCTGTGGAATCTTAAATACCTCATGGTTTGAGTGACTCTGGATATTTGGATATACCATGAGCATCTGTATCGACCATCAAGAAACTGAAACCTCCAACACGGTGAAGAGGCACTGCTTTTAGTCAATCACTGACAGAAGAGAGAGAAACCAGAATGCGGAACTCATGCCTTTGTGAGCTGACTGGCAGTCTGAGCTGTGGATCCCATGACCAAACCTGACCTGACCTGACCTACTACAAAGGGACAGAATAAAAACAACACTGTCTAACACAGCAGATCTAATAAACTCGGACATCCTATACAGTAGCACACGGTCATGTGGTCTGCAAACAGCAGCACCAGGAACACAAAAACAAGACCAAACAGCAGCCGGGCATCACAGATTACTGCTGCACTGCTGCCACCTGCTGGTCTCCATCCCTAAATGCTGGAAGGTTTTCTGTGCAATATCAACTCTTGACTCTATTCAGTTATATTATGATGCTGGTCTATTCATGTGTTTTCTATTTTGTTACAGTCTGTGATGTAAACAATAGATAGATAGATTTACTTAGAGTTTCTACATATCTAGGGACCTCATCTCTTCACCATACATAATAACTGGAGATGCAAATAACCGCATGGCAAGCACTGTGTAACTCTTAAAAATATAATGCCTATTTTTATTTCATATTCTTTAGTATGTCAATAAATTTTAGAGTCATAACTTAAAGTGCAGTGTCACCTAAGCAACTAGCAATAAGCTTTGCATTTCTGTGTTGAAAATTCTACATTAACAAACCTGTTATGACTTTATACATGTTTGTAATCATGTAAAAAAAAAAAATGAAATTAAAGCACCTATGCTGTGAGACATCTAGCAATCCATAACAAGCTCACTGGCAGCTCATATAAAGTAGCTATGTGTCATTAGTAACTGTCTCTTCAAAATGAAGCAGTGAGAGGACGCCGCACTGTTAATTCCACCTCCTCTCTCCTACCTCATATCATGTGCAAGGAGCCATGACAGGAAGAGGAGATGCAAGTGAGGAGGCACATATGCTCATTGAAATGAAACCTCAGCAACACGAACCTACTATACTACTATAAACTTTAATAAATTGATAAATGTATCTGCTTACTTTTCTTATTACTCTTGGAATTCCATATCCCTTAAAATTGACCTGTCCATTCCACACCTTTCAATCACATTTTACTAACAACTTGGATAACCACTGACAAAGCCTCGGTTTAAAGGATGTGTCTCCTCTGAATGTAGGATCCAGTGGTGACATGCAGGCAAAATGATCACATATTTCCTATTAGGTCATCAAGTTCATATTTAGGTTAAATGTACAGCAGCATGCCTGCAGATTATCCAGAAACTTAACCATCAATCAAAATGTTAGCATAACTCCAAAAATCCCAAAATCTTAGCGAGTCTAATGCTGCTTTGTTTGCTTCATCTCGGTTTAGTCACCAGACTGGACCTGAGCTGCAAGAAAACATTTGAGAAATTATTTAGAAATAAGCACCAAAAGCTAAAAGACCAAATACAAAAGTAATACTACCTTTTGTCATAGGCAAAGACTACAGTATGACAAGAACTGTAGTTAATAAGTTAGGCAATAAGAGGCAATTAAATAAATGTATATTAAGTCACTATCTAATGCTAAAGGAATGATGATTGAGTCTATGGCCCACTGATTATTGCTTTTATATTATTTATATATTTGCAGTATTATGAGCTGGGTTTCTGTGGCGACATTCCTGGGGAAAATGCTGTGTTAAGTTGCAGCAAACTGAACATTTTACACTGCTGCAGCTTTAACTGGAGAGACACAATTTGACTTTTATTATGAAGTAGTCACAGGAAATGCAATTTGTCAGTGAGCTCAGCACTTACCGCTGTCGTTCATCAGAAATGCGTCTACAAAACAAGACAATGGTCATTTTCAGCATTTCTGACATCAGATCAGTTTCAAATATTGCAGGGAGTAACAGAAGGAGGAGCAGCCACAGTGAGCTGTTAGATGAAGAGCTGCACAACTTCTCAGTGAGGTAACAACTCCTTTCACTGTGCGCTGCTGTTCGCAGTCTCATGCTGTGTGCAGCATAAAGTCAGACCACAGTTGCTCACAGAATGATGGAAAAGGGTAAATTATTGCCTGAGATCTTTATTAAAGAGAAGACAAACTCGCATCTGCACCTCCTCTCGATTGTTTTCAGACTTTGGAAAATCTAGCCCGTGACGAGAGGCTTGGGCCAATCACAGAGAGTTAGTGCGTTCCTATTGGCTGTTCTACAAATACAGATGCGTGTGCACAACCCCTCAGATGGACATGTGTCAATATCAGTTTCAGAGATGGAGAGAACCTGCAGTACTTCTCCTGGACACGTAACAGGCTGCTTCATTTCCTGTAATATCTAAATGTGTTGAAGTGGTTGGTCGTGTTGGTAGATTTACCATGAAAGCACATGATGAGTGGCAATTGAATGCTGCTAATAGTTCAGCTCATAAAAATAAGACCACGTTCTAACCTGTAGCATTGCTGGTGTGAGAGAGGCAGTAGGTAGTGAGGGGCTGCACAGGTTCATGGGGGAGAAGTCAGAGGTGGTGACCAGCAGAGTTGGCGGGCTGATCTGCAGGATTTTCGGTGGCTTGCGTGTCTTTCCTGAGCTCTGAGTGCTGACTGTGGTGCAGCTGCTCACTGAGGATGAACTGGTTTCAGCGTCCACCAAACTGATCTCATCTCCAGACAGACCGATGCCATTGTCCACCTGGTGAACACAGATAATGATTTACTCACATTACTTTGATTTCATCACTTCACACTTGTCATTGCCCTGAGAATACCTGTCATGTTCATAGTATCAGGAAAAAAAACAGAAATCAATAGTAATTTTGATTTTAATCTGGAACATTGTTCACACATAATAAAATAAAATAAGTTTTCAGGGCCTATAAAAATAATTTTTCCTGTTGTTCAAATATTTCACTACCTTTTGTGTGAGATGAGTTTGTATGTGTACTAACCTTCTCCTGTGTCTGAGCGTCTGTGGGCTCTGGTGGCTGAGCGTCTGCAGGCTGAGATGATCCAGAGTCAATGTCGCTGTCAATCACCAGCTCCTGAGAGGAGTCAGGCACTAAGCTTGGCGATGGGCTGGCCGACGTCAGGTCCGGTAAGCTGAACGTTTGTTCTGATGGGCGGATGTGTTCAAATGAATAGACGGACTGGGGTGGCAGGGAGGAGTGTGTGCTGATGTCGTCACCCCTCGGGGGCAGAGCTTGCAGAGGATCTAAATGGCTGGACATCAGGGTCGGCTCTATGACAACCTGAGGAGGCGGTGCTGGTGCTGGCTTTGGAGGGGTGTTTCCAAACTTGATGACGGATGGCAAAGCAGTTGGCTGTGACTGAGGCAATGCTTCCTGGCTCTGGCCTGTGGCAGTGAGACCCCTCTTGTCAGCCATCTTTTCTGCTGGGTTCTCTATTTTGATGGACTTGAAGAGCTGGCGTCCATTTTGCAGCGAGTTGAGTGTGAAGGAGGTGTACAGGCCAGAGTGAATGTAGTCGTTGCGGCTTGACTGCTTGGTGCTTGAGCCCAGAGCCACTGTACTACCTCCTACCTTGGCTCTGTCACCAGACTCACTCTCTTGTAGGGTGCTGTCCCTTCTTGTAAGGGGAGGAATGCTCCCAGCACCTATATCCCCGCCCTCTGTTCGGGTAGCAACATCTCCTTTCAGGATGTCAGGATACGACACAAAGCGATAGACAAACTTCTGACCATTTACCTTCTTTATGATGTTCTGTAAGACACAGTAAAGCAAGATATGTTAGTTTATACTCCTGGTGAATAACATAAACAGTAAAATACACTACATCATCCAGGCAGAGAGCAGAAATAAGACTTTCCCTCACGTAGTATGCATCTACCAAAGCAGCAGTAGAAGCAAAAAATAGAAAAGTGAGACCACAGAAAAGTCTTACGCATGGGACAGCTCTGTCCTTCCTGTCTGTACCAACCTAGCAGCCACTAATGCTGCAGCCAAACATACCAGAGCAGCCCTGCCCAGCACGCCCACAGGGTCAAGCAGTGCTTCTGCCAAACCACAAGCAGAGTGGGAGACAGACAGCGCTCTCCCTCTCTCTGCATGTCACTGAGCAGCGGACTTCAACCATTCTGAGACGCAATTAAATTGTGTTTTGCTATTTTCTGGTAGTCTTTGGTGCAGTTGTTGGAGGAACCAGCCCTCTTTGACTCGTCAGCTGCTGCTTCAAAACACATGCTGTTATGCTACACAGGCATCATGTAATTTGTTTAATTATGGCTGACAATGAAGCTTCTGATCTCATACATATAATGCATATATCAGGATGCCGCACCATCTGATCAAATTCATATTCATTTTTATTTTTTGGAATCTGGAAGTGGGGGAGAATTATTAGTAAATCTGTGTTCACTCATTCAGCGGCAATGTTAATATTAATCCTTCAAAAAGAGAGCAGGAATACCCTGTAAATGTGACACAGAATTAAGTTATGTGAAGATGTTCCTCAGGGTGGCACGGTGATTCAGTGGTTGGCACTGTCACCTCACAGCAAGAACCCTGGTTCATCTGGGGCCTAACTGGGGTCGGCCAGGGCCTTTGATTCTAAATTGCCCGTAGGTGTCAATGTGAGTGTGAATGGTTGTTTGTCTCTATATGTCAGCCGTGATAGACTGGCGACCTTTCCAGGGTGTTCCCCGTCTCTGGCCCAGTGTCAGCTGGGATTGGCACCAGCCCCCCATGTTCCTTAGTAAACAAAGCAATGAGTATAGTGACTTTCTCAAAGTTCCAGTTTAAGTGTATGAAAACATGACAGGAGTAAAATAAAAAGCTAAATCAAGGCTCATGAGGGTGATGTAGCCTACCAACTATATTGTGGCCTGTCCTTCAGTCAGGGGCATGCTTTTCCCAACTGCATTCTACCGACAAAGACCAACATCAGATTGGAAATAACTGAAACGGCTGTGATTGATAAAATGTTTGAGAAGCTTCAGATGGAACAGATTCGTTATAGCAAATGGAACTCGCAAAAGTTTTTACAGAGGGTGTGGAAGCCATTTTTGCACAAGACACAAGACTGAACTACATAATCTGTGTTGTATCTGTACTTATTCTGTAAACTGTATTGATTCTCTGGCTCCTCCATCCATTTAGTTTTGTCTTTTTTTTCCTTTTTTTTTTTTTTGCTCTGTTTTGTTTTGCACCCTAGTTTTGTTTTGTGTGATTCTCCTGGCGGGCAGGGCATTCTCCTATCTCCCCTGTTAATTTGTCGATACTTTGCTCTTGGGAGTTCTGCTTATGTACCCCTCGTCTCTTTGTCAACTTGTGTAACTGTACTGGGTACTCTGTCTACTGTGTTTATTGTGTGTGTACATGTTCTAATATAAGAAAATCTTAAATAAAAGAATAAAAAAATGTTTTGTCAAGCTAGAAAGGCACGTTTATAGTTTGGTTCAGGGTTAGGACATGTGTCCAAGGACATTCTTTGTGGGAATGAAAATGCTGTGTTGTTATACTAATAGCATAGCTATTGTTGTTGTTACCTGAAACAAGTGAAATCTTAAGACTAAAAGACCAAACTGCCACATTAAATACAAGGCAGCTACTTTCAATCAACTACAACCACTGCAGTAGAAGAGTTTATGTGTGTTTACCTTGTCGTAGTAGTATCTGAGGGCCCTGCTGAGTTTGTCATAGTTCATATTGGGCTTGTTCTTACGAGCCCCCCATAACCGAGCCACCTCCTCTGCCTGCAGCAGCTTGAACTCCCCTTCCTCATTGGTCCAGCAGATGAGCTGCTCATTACTGGAATCCAAAAGGAGCTGGAGAAGGAACTGCCACAGGGTGACAGAGTTGTCCATGTCTCTCACTGATTTGGGGGGGGGGGGGGGTAAAGGTAGAGAGGAGAAAAATGATCAGGCTCATGAACCAAGGAACTGCTGCTCACTGCATAACAATATGGAATTCCACAAACTTATAGCAAATATGACCTTTGGGCACACTACTGTAAGTCACTTCAATTTATTCTGACAGTTAAGTTGTGATGAAGTGCTGTAAATGAGTTCTTGTTGTAACCATTTGCCTCCTTCAATCAGTCAACCAAGGAATGTTAACTCCAACAACACACAGTATGTGCATGAATAGCAGCAGCACACAGATGTAAGACCAAATGCAGTACATGTGTCAGTCTTAGCAACACTCTACGATATACATTACAAAAATGTTATATTTTAGTCCGCAACAGGAGCAATGAGAAAACTGTTCATCTTATCCTCACTTGTATTTTTAAAAAGCTGAAGAAAGGTTGTTGGATACCTAAAAGTGTGAGCAGAAATCTGGTGCAATAACTGTAAATGGTTATTAAATAGCCAAGGAATAAGAGACTGTTTTACAGGACCAGGTGCACCCTGTGCTACAAACACTGTTCCCTCATGTGGTTCCCACATTCTAGGATAATAATGCCACCATACACCAAGCTGAATAAACTCAAGAGTGGTTTCATTAACATCTCGATGAAGTCGAACACCTTCCATGCCATTCCCTTCATGAGAAATTCTGATGCTCAAAGTATACAGTAAATTTCCACCTTCTTCACACCTTGGTGAGCTGGAGTGTGCATAAAAGATTAATTGAAAAATAATGGTCTGTATCCACACAGTTCAGGGTGAGTATGACAGCTTTCTGAGGACTGAGGCTGTTCAGAGGTAAAGTGTGCCCTCATTCTGGTTCGGTCCATGATGACAAAGACGTGATATCACATTGTTCACCTATTCAGAAATGAGAAAATTAAACCTAATCATAAATAACTGATTTTTGTTAGAACCTCTAAAGTGTGGCACTGTGGTGTGACAACTGACAAGTCCTCAAGGACAAACATCTTGTTCACATCTGGCAAGGTCTACAGAACACCATGATCATGAAAAACTAAACACCTCTCACAGTGTGAGGTAAAGAAGGATGTTCATGAGGATGTAAATTCAAACACCAGGGACCGTTCACAGAATTATACAAGGATTGTAAACCTGACATAAGGCAACGATATCTGGTGGTAACAATCACAATTAGAGATGAAATCATTAGTTGCCATCTAATTTGATAATCAATTAATCTAAATCATTTAAGTAATCTTTTAAGCAAAAAGGTTATGATAAATTGCTGGTTCCAGCTTATAAAATTTGAGTATTTTCAGGTTGTCTGGAGTCTTCTGTGATCGTAAACTGAATCTCTTTGGGTTTTCAATTGATCACCTGACAAAGCAAGACGTTTTAAGCTGCCATCATGGGCTCTGGGAACTTGTGACTGGCATTTTTGCTATTTGCTGACATTCTATAAACCAAATGATTTATCAGTTAATCAAGGAAATAATTGGTAGAGTAATCGATGACTGTTAGTTGCAGCCCAACTCAATTAAACTGTAGTGTCATTACTAGAGCTCCTATTAATGTCAAAACCAACATTTTATTGGACATTATAATCAACTTATTTCATAACGCAGGTCTACAAGGAGCTATTATTTGAAATAGCTCTGTTCCCCCCGGCTGGAAAATAACACAAACCAAATGCTGGTCAATTCTGGTTGCAGATTTGCTTCCATTACACTTCACTTCAACAGTAACCATCTGTTTCAGAGTCTTGTTATACTAAGTTAACGCTACATGATTATAACCATGATTTTCCACTCATTGCCTCCAATCAGAGGCAAATCAAGGTTCGATCGCTAAACCACAATAATTTCAAAATTCCTGATTACAAAACAAGTTGTGCAGTGTGATCAGTACAGAAGTCTGATGACTTTCAAAGTCATTTAGTGTGTGCATGGCTTTAATTGCCAGTAAATGTTGACAATACTATAACTTGTGAGGAAAGAAGTTTTTAAAAAAAGCCGACTTTTGCTTATGCTTGTGTTTTACCGTATTGTTCTTTCAGCTAAGGTACAAACCCACATCTGGCACTTTCTTTGATGTTCTTGAGGGGCTTTTTGCTGCAGTCTTTGCAGGTTTTACAGCATGGCATCCTATGCAGAGATTAAAGGCCATGAACACTGGTGGTATATGCACACAGGTGTTTTCACTTGTGTGGGCATGTATAAAACATGCTTGATTGACAATTGCCTAACATATTTGCTGCACCTGTAAAGGAGAGGAACAACATTCAATTATTTTAGGTATATGATTTTTTGTAACCTCAGCACACTCCCAGGGTTACTACACCCAGATTCAACTTGCAAAGAGTTTTAATCAGACAGAATAACTAAAAACACATGTTATCTATTGACTGATGTACCCCAATCCAACCTGCACAGGTAACTGCAGCATTCTACTTGATTGTCTCAAACAAGTCAACCTAAAATCTGCATCAATTATAATCCTTCCTGCCTGTCACCTCAGCTGGGTGCACTTCTCAAGGGTCACACAATTACATGGTGTCCAGAGAAAAGTGACTGGTTCCTCCTGTCCTTACTTAGATGAGAGTGTTAATGCTGTGCGTAACAATGACAGGGAGCCCAAAGGTGAGCATAGGATAGGTATAAATCTATGTAATGTGTGTGGATATTATAGAACCATCAAACACTGCATGACTATTGAAGTATCTCACAGAGAGCAGAGCCCATCTTCAACCTCTGCATCCCTGACAGTATGAGAGATGAAACAGGAGGAAAGCTACTTCCCATGAAGGTTCAGTGGTGTTTAGATCTAGAGGTTGTGAAAGCCATGAACAAAGAGGCAGACAACATTCTGCTTTTCACAGAGCCTCTCTTGTAAACTGTTTAGCAGTGTGTAAAGAGGCATTATCTTGAGATCTCATACCTGAATGCCATTTCATTTTTGCCAAAACAAAAATTTTGCTGCATCTGCAGTCCCAGGAAAATTTGTTCCCTCTAAGTTGTGCTCCTGATATGTCTCTTTCACTGCCTATTAGGGGCAACAGACACTGCAACCGGTTTGAGGCCTTTGTCTTGCTTGTGAGTTAAATTTATATGAATGTACTTGAAAGTTAGGAGTTGGAGGATGCAGTTCATGTGTGTTTGGTATAAAATATCATTATATATGCAACAACAAGATTTATCCACTATTTCACCTGTTGATATGAATAATAACTATTGTATATCAAAAAATGTGTGCTTTCTGTGTTATTTGCAACTTTGTTAAATTATTCGTGTATGTCAGTCAAACTTGTGATTTTTCATAAATTCGAGATCATTAAGATCATTGTTCATCATTTTAATTATAATTTAATTATATTTTCAAGTTAAGTATATGACAGCTGAATGCACCCAATACAATTACACCTCCCCAGCCAACATGTACATTTAAAGCACTGAATGAATAATCTTATGTTTGCATCATCCTTCCATTAATGTAGATTTAGGTGCTATGTCACACCAGGTGTAGCCTTAACCTTTGGGCCATTTAGTACAGATACCCTCTGTGGTGGTGAGCTGGCATAACCCCACAAAGGCAAGAGTGTGGTGTACTGGTAGTTTTACCCTTGAAGCACTGTGATGTTAGGTGTCAATCTACTGCTTGAAGATTACATGGTATGCCTCAAGCCATCCAACACCACCACTAATGATCGTCTATGAAGAGCTGCCTATCACATGGCAGACATTTCGATGATGTGACTTGCATTCCAGTCCAGTTACTGTACACATTTGAGAATGCTGCTATTGAAAAGCCCAGCAACGCCACTTGTCTTGGTGATGTAAAAGCAACCCTTCTGTCATCAAGACTATTAAACCATGCTCAGAGCCCACTCTCAATAATCCATTCACATTACATTTACATTTACTCATTTGGCAGACGCTTTTATCCAAAGCGACTTACAAGTGAGGGACATCACTAAAGCTTCACATGCAACGCTAGCTTGGAAATGGGTTTGTTTAGCAGTCACATACATGCAAATGTCAAGGAAAGTTACTCTTCTCCTGCAAGGTAATGATTTCGATTATTCTGATGCCTAGTGTTCATTTTACAAAATCGCCCCAATTGACGATTTTGTGCATAATATTCCCACATTTCAGACCCCAACAACTTGATTTCCTCATATTGCCTCTTAGAGCCACACAAGTTGGAGTCAATTGGCGCCCACTCTGACGTGATTCCTAATACTACTATTAGATGTTGCTGGGTATTCATATAGTGTTTTTGCTATTCTGTCCACTCTCCCTGTCAGTATCTGTCAACATGTGTGTATGTGTGTGTTTGTGTGAGTAAGCTTCTTATGGAAGAGTAAATCTGCCCTGACTCATCCAGACCTGCTGGGTTGGAGACACACCCCCCCCACACACACACACAATCTGTCCCAAACTGTCATGTTAAAACTGGTGATATCGGGAAAAAATAGGACAGTGTCAAATCTGCTGCCAGGGAAAAAGATTACCAATGAACGTTATGTAATGTGTGACATTAGCAGCAAATGTTATCTACGGAGCAGTGAGATAACGTAAGCTAGGTCAAATCAGTCATAGAACATGGGTTATTCATGCGCTATGAACGCCCGGGCTGGAGTGACTGGTTTGTACTATCAGATGGCCAGGCACCCACACAGAGCAAAATAAAAGACCACTTGTTGATGGATAATATTAGTTTCGTTACTGTCAACACGAACTAGCACTTATTTCCCAACTATTTAAAGTCGCAAGGTGGAGCTCAACTGCCACTGTCGTGTTCATCATGTGTGTGAATAGTCGAGAAGACAAACAAATCAAGGCATTAACGTTTGTCAGCTAACAGTAAGTTAGCTGTTAGCTAGCTTCACGTTAGCTTGTTTGCTAACATTACCTCGCTCGTAGAGCCCGCTGAATTTCCAAGTCGTCGAGCCGTGTCCAGATATTCCCAAAACATTGCTGGAAAGCTTTTTATACTGCCATAGCTCAGGAAATAAGTTTCAAATAGAGTGTCAAGCAAATACCTGAACACAGAATACATTAAACTGCCTTTGGCTTACAGTGACGATATATCCTTTGAACAGGAAATAATGTTGCATTCACTGTTCCTCGTACTACCCATATTCAAGAACTGTCGCGCCCCTCCAAGTGGGCTTTCCTCGGGAACACATACGGTTTTTTGTGAGTTAGTAACTGTTGTTTTATTGTAAAAATAAAAATATAAAAATAAAAAAAACTATTCAGCAAATAGTTGCTTTGAGACAAAATATGAAAGTGAAATAATGCGCTTTAGTTATGCATTTTATGCCTTATTGTAATCACGAAATAAAAAAACATTGGCAAGGGAGAAAATAGAACATTTAAATTAAGCTTTTCTCTTAACATTGGAAGTTAAGCAATATACCTAGCCATAACCATTTCACTCGTTGATGCTGTTTGTATATTCCTTAACATTAAACGTTGCATCTGAAAAACTCCAGTGAGAGAAAACCCCACTTGTTCGCTCGGTTGTCGGTTGTGTAACATGTTCAAAATTCCGACGCTCCGAATAACATAAAATGTGTCATTAAACTCACGCTGAGGTCACTTCCTCTCTTGATTCTTTGGTTGTTATGTTTATCAAGTTGTTATTATTTCACAGCACGGCTACAAAATTGCTCCAGATAATAATGTGTGATGTCTCTGACTTACACGACTTACTGACTATTTATTTCACACAGTTGGCTTGTGATTTACAATGCGTTGCTACAATCTCTGTTCCCAACAATCTGAGCGTCTAGTTAAAATGTGATAAGAAATCAAAACAATGATTTCAGCAAAACCAAAAAAAAACATTCAGCAAAACTTTTAGACTGAACGAAGACTGAAGAGTTTTTTAGTGAAAAAAACTTTTCTCAGAAAACTGTGTGAATTCATATTCATGTTTTAAAAGATATGCATACACTGTCAAATGATTTGGTGTCAATAAAGGAGAGAGCATCTTAATTAATGTATGCTTTAAAGCCAGAGCTACTGTGGGAAAATCTTGTTGGCACCTGAAAGCATCTAAATATCTGACCAGTATGTACCCCTACTGCATTTCTTTCTGTCTCACCACTCTATTTATGATATTTAGCCTATCCCAGCATGCATTGGGCCAAAAGCAGGGTCACCAGTCTCACAGGGCTGCCACACACAAGGTACATCCGATGTTTTAAAATTAGAGGCAAAGCATTTTGTGGATTTGGGTTGTAATTCCCAGACACACATGGCTTCCAATTTTTTCTTTCATATGGTGGCTACTTTCTTTGTATTATTAACCTGTATTACCCGCTAGCTACAATAGAATAAAAGTCACTGTCTCTAATACAATAAATAGTTATTTTGGAGTGTGATCTTAACTTTGAAAGCGATATGACTAATATAAGAAGGACAGGATTTTATTACTTAAAAACTCTATCTATGAAATTAGAGGATTTATATCACAAGATGATTTTGAGAAACAGCTTTATGAATGAATCTAAACCAGACTACTGTAAAGCTCTGTTGGTTTACTCAGACAATCAATAGGAAGGCGGGTCACTCAAAACAGACACGTTGCCAAGCATATTATTCCAGTACTGACTAATTTCACTGGTTAAATTCTACTATTAGTCTTTAAAGCACTGAATAGTTTTGCCCCTCACTGCATCTCTGACCCTCTCACTGAATGCACTCAGATTTCTCAGGTAATGAAGTTTACAGATCCACACGTAGTGAGGATGCTTTCAGTTACTGTGGTCTGACGCCGTGAAACAAACTGCCTGGTGACCGGAGATCTGTCACAGCTGCCTTCACATTCACATACAAACTGAGGACTATTTCCTGATTACTGTTACTGTGTGTCTCTGTGGTCAGTATTGTTTATTCAATGAGTAACTTGGTTTTTGCACATTTTAATCTAACACACAGTTAACTGTTTAATGAAATGTGCTATATGAATGAAATGAAAACCTAATGCAAATTAGAATTCAAATCAATTATCTTTTTTTTCTTTCTTTTTTTTCATTTTCCCTCTCAATTTTGAATTATGCAGCAGTCCTTGTACACAGTACAATAAATGTACAAAAACATGTTGGAATTGTAGTGATTTAGTGATTTTCTTGTAATTAGCAACATAAAATATCTTCTTGACAGTAGAAACTGTGTGCACGTTTTCAGATTAACCACCAAGTGGCAGCATACAACAGCAATGCATACATCAACCAACTCTCAGAAAATTTTGGTTTAACTTATTATACACATTCATTTGTTGTTATCCAGACTGAAAACAGAGCAAACATATCGCTGAACTCAGCTTGTTTTAATAACAGAGATTGAATTAAAAACAAACAGAATTTATTCAGTATACGTTAATTCAGCGATTATGTTTTATGTTCCTGACCCTCACTATGAGGAAAAACAAATCTGAGTGGCTGCAAACACCTTCGGCTGTACTTAATGGCATCCAATCAGAACATTGTACCAGTCATAATATGATTCTGACTTTCAGCCAAAAATCATTAGGACCATTCAGCTCTTAATGTGATGCGGGGAAAGACTTGAGGGTGATTATATACAGAGTGGTGGTGCTGGATTGACGTGCTGGTTGAGTGACTCATCACAGCAGAGGCAGATATCTACTATAGATAAACATTTTCTCCAGGTTAATCACACGTTTGTATTTTGCATATACTGTGCATTTGTTGGAAGCCAACACTTACAGCTGTATCTAAGGATCTAAGAATGTATGTTCCAGTTAATCAATGCGAATCTAAGGTTTGTGAAGAAATTACCTTGTAGTTTTCTTTCTATCCTTCCATGCTGTTTAATGTGTAGCACTAGATGAAAAATCTGTTAATCTTAAAGCAGCATTTGATATTTTGGGGTACCTAAGGGCAACAGAGGACTCTGCAAACACAACACTTTTGAAATTGTTACAGCTGACATGTTAGCAAACAGTTTACTATTTACACAGAGCTGCAGTAATTAAGTGATTAATTGAAAAGTAACTGGCAACTCTTTTGTTAACCAAATAATCATTTTTTAAAAATAAATTCTTTACCAATAATGAAGAATTTGAAGTTTGATTTCATTATATTGATTAATAAACTTAATATCTTCGTGTCATGGACTGTTGACTGAACTAAACAAGGCATGTGGGACATCACCTTGGGCTGTGGGAAGTTGTAATGGGCATTTTCACCATTTTCTGACATTTCATAGAGAAAAATATTTCATTGATCAATCAGAAAAAAAAGTCTTCAGATTAATCGACAATGAAAACAATCATTAGTTGCAGCCTTACACCAGACTTGGCGCAAGATTAGCATTTATTTGGAGCTAACCTGGTGACCTGTGTGTGTCTGTTGTTTGGGTGTTGGGCAGGTGTATATAGTGAGTTTATCATTGAGTCAAAGATGCAGAAACTGCTTAATAGAGTCAAAGTCTTGCCACTCTGCAGCCATCTTGGCAACGCCCCCCTGGCAGGTTTGACCAGCATTACCAGGCCCCTATCTAAACGAATGGAGAAAGAGCCTGAACTGCACTTTGAATGGTGAATGGGACGTAAAAACTGAATGTATAGAATCACTAGTCAAATCAAAAATCAAAAAAGGTTTAAAATGCTTCCTTTCCACAGGTTATACTTGCTCTGCATACACAAGATTTCACAGCTGTGCACTTGCATCAGTGCAACAACATAGCTGGCTTGATATCGGCTGTTTTAAAGCAGACAATTGGCTGTTTGGCGGTGGGGCGGGACTTGTATCGGATGTCGTGTGTGTCATACAGTCCATACAATCTGTTACGGACTATTCTATTCAGGATTCTTTAAGTGGTGTGTCTCCTCCTTTTTAACGTCTCTAGAGCTGAGAGGAACTGCAGAGTGATACTTCTCTGTGGGTTCATCACTACAAGCAATTTTTTCAAATTACACAGTGTTTTAATCCATTATTAATATAAAAAAAAATCTGATCAGTGCAGCTTTAAACTTTTCTCAGGCTGCTTCTCTCATCCTTATATGAATTCATTTTTCAACTAGGCCAGAGAAGGAAAGAAAGGAAAGAGGGAAAGAAGGAATAAATTTGAGGGAGGGAGAAAACATCTTGTCAAAATAAGCTTCTTATTAATTATAATTGCTTCAAGCAATAAATTAAAATAGGATAAAAAAAACATTCTTATCTGGTCGTTAGCTTTAGAAGGAAGATGTTCTTGTCACAGTTACTGATTAGCATTAATCTATAGCTATTTAAAGCCAGTATTGTTCCTTTTTAAAGACAGCACAGTGCTCTGTCCTACAGTAACCTCTGGTCACAACTGTTGGTCAGCTGCTCTTATTACATTACAGCCTGTGGCCACATTTCATTTCTAAAAGGAAACCCCCTTCTTCCCTCTGTCCGACTTGTCTGGCCTGTTTCCTTCCGAGACGCCCGCCTCAGCCACAGTTTATGAATCAAAACACCACGACTGGAATCAGATGAGCAGCTTTTTAAAAAACGGCTTCATTCAAGATTAGCGACAGTGTAAAAGAGCAGAGCAGGAAAGGAGGCGACGCAGACTTCTGCTTTGAAGCTGGTCCCGGTTTCCTCTGGGTGCTCCCTCCCAGCCAAACATAACGAGAAAGCATCAACAGCCAGAAATTCCAGCCTGACATGCATGACGATAGAGCTGCAGCTTCCTCTCCACTTTCTTGAGTATTAAACTAAGAGATATTACACCATACTGCAGCAGTCAGATCACTATTGGAAAGCCTGCAGCATGTTTTTATCCAGAGGCTCACTGGAGCGGCCTTGATGTGGTTATCCTGCCACCCACTCTGTGCTGTAATCGCTGCCGTCGTTCAGCGCCGCAGGAAATTCAGATTGGTGTCATTTCAGTGAGACAGTCACTGGGCAAATTAGTAGAGAGGCAGTGACTACAGAAACAATGAAGAGCAAAAGAGCAGGCTGGTAACTTTGTCTGCCGTGACAACAAAGCTAACTACTGTTTGTATTAAAGCTTTGGTGCCTAAAATAGTGATTGTAGCTGTATAACATACATTTATGCTGCTATATATTAGATTTTTGAACGAGTGTTCCCAATGCAAGTATGTGTGAACAGCATTTTAAAGAGGATTTTATAGACTCATTAAAGGGCTTTTAAATCACAAACCTGCACTAATCATTTCTATATGGACAACAGGTCAAATGACTACATGTAATGTGAAAGAGGTTCCTTGACTCACTTGACTCTGCAGTTCCCCTCAGGTCTAAGGAGTTTTTTTTTTTTTAGCCTCTTTTAGCTCATTGGTGCAGCAGCAGGCCTCTGTTCTCTGCAACCAAGTTCTGCTATGCTACCTGCCAAACACCACACAGCAGTGAACGTTAGCACTATAGCTGAGGAACATAGCAGAGTATTTAGTGACCAAAGACCACTTGTACTTCACAGTAACTGCAACCAAAACTAGCTAAAAGGGGAGAAAGATTATTGGATTTGCATTTGTCAGGTCACCAGAAACATTTCTCCAAATAAATGTTAATATTGCTCTACATCAGCTGAATGTGTAAATAGCTAACATGATAGCCATACAAACTGTGTAAGGCTTTAGCCTGTGGGGGAAAAAAATAAAACTTACTAGTCAAATTAATCAACAAATTAACTAGTAAGCATGGTCAAATAAATGTGGTGGAGTAAACAGTGCAATCTTTTTGATGGTATTGAAGTATAAAGTACCTCAGAATTGTACTTCAAGCTGCATTAAATGCTATTTGGCCACTTAATGGCAGTGCAACAAACTGAAAACAAACATTAAAGTGATAGTTAGGGTTTTTTGACATGGTGTTGTGTGAGGTAGTCATGCATATTCAGTGTATTACCTACACTTACCTACTCAAAAATGCCCAACAAAACAATCCAATATCAGTTGAAATGTACGCTTCATTTAAAATATTTCCAGTGCTTTATCTTCCCGTCAATACAGCACCTTGAGTGGATATTGAAAGCTAATGTGCCGGTGCTCTCCTAACTGGCAGCGCGCTGGTCCGAATCTACTGCAGGGAATACACTGATTATGCATGACTACCTTTACACAACCCCACGTCAAATAACCCCAACTATCACTTTAACATGTTAGCAAACAGTATTTGCACATCCAGGTGAGACAGAGCTTAATTAGTATTAGTATTTGGAGTTGTGATTCTGGACAGCTAAGTCCAATGCTCACCAAGTCCAAATACTCTCCTTTTAGCCTACATCTGTTTTGTTCTTTACAAATTCCAGAGAAAAACATCTGGTTCTTTACCTGCTAAATGCCCCACTATGTTCTCCAGCTTGCTACTAACTTAGTCGGTCGTGTGGTGTTGGGCACGCATGTCTATTAGGAAACATGGTTGATGGTGACACTGAACCGAAACAGTTACGGTAAATGCCCAGCCATGAAACCAAAACCATTATCGAAAAAGGCTTCTAAAAGGAGAATCTTAGAGTGGGGTGAAACAGTGATGAGAGTGAAGTACAACAGTTAAATTGCGGCTGGAAAACCAAAACAAGCTAGAAGATGCTAAAAGGTTCTGTAGACCAGTGGGAGCAGTCTCTGTATGAACAACTTCTTACAGCTAGGACTGTAACCCCATTACACATGCTAATGTTGCCCTGTGTGTGAACAACAGATTTCCAATAAGCATTATTCAAATTACGACAAAGCAAAAGGATTCAACATTTTCATTTTTGTTTGTTTTTTTTATTTTTGCAAATAGGAAAATAGCATTTCTGGTATTCAAAAAAAAAAAAAAAGAAAAAAAAAAGAAAAAGGAAATACAGCCTGCTTCCAACCAGATACACGGGCAGGGCTGAGAGAGAAACAGAGAGAACAGGATGATGATTAGGGAATACAGGTCTGGATGTAGGTCAGTACAAGCAGCCTGGGGAGGCTCAGACACAAAGACCGCGCTGGTTCAGACAGATAAACACGTCTGCCCGTCTGTCTGCTTTGAACGGGTTTCTACATTACTAAGCATGGGTGTTTTTTAAGGAATAAAACCTAGTGTATCCATAATGCTACGAGATAAAGATATGAGGGTGATTGCTATGTAAATGACTGTGCACTGCTACATGCAAAAGTGCTCTACTTTCTTAGTTCATCCAAAAGCACCAATGTTGCTTGAGCTAAGTTAAGATTGCCAGTAGCCTACAGTTTGTGGTAGTAAGTGTCCGCTGGTTCAACAGAGAACAATCCAGTTATGTGAAGCGTTCAGTTATAGAGTCTCTTCGTGTGAAGCACTGGTAGGTTAACAAGCACCAAAGTGTTGAGATCAAATGATAATAGCGACTGCACAGCAGAGTGCAGTTTAACCTTCCCTCAAAAATATGCTTTTTTTTTCTTTTCTTTTTTTGTGTGTGTGTGTGGGGGGGGGGGTCATTTTACAGTTCTGATACATTTTTATGGAACTGCCATAAGAGCACAATAACTGTTTCTCACTTTCCACAAACACAAGTGCACTTGAGACCAGCAGATTCAGCTTAATGGTTTGTGAACGGGTAGAGTGGGACTCCAAATCCCAGACCATAATCAGTCTGACATTCCACAGATTGATCACGCTACAATCAAACTCACATAACAGACCAAAAAAAATCTCTCCAGAAACACGACTGAATAGCTTAATGCACTGATTGAAAATCCTCTTTGATAAAAAAAAAAAAAAAAACATCTATATATAAAGGCTACAAGCTGTACATGTGTTATCTTTGTCCTTTATGTTCAGTACACATTATATTGAGTATGCTAATACAGAAGATTGAATAGATGTTAGCTGCCTTTCCAGCTGTTTAAAGTATTAGCTTTTCCTGTTGCTATAACCAACAGAAAAAAAAAATGTTTACAGTAACTGCTACTGTAAATAAGAAAGAGCAGCACTTTTGAACCACTGAGCACTTTTGAACCATTGAGCCTAAGTACGAGTCATTTTCTAGGCCACTGAAGTCGGCTGCAAATGATTTTCAAGAGAATTTCAGAGAACAAACAGCTTATAAACTGTCATGCACCGAGGGTGTCGTTTTCATGCTCTCACAGAGACAGAACAGGGATTTCTGGTTTGGCAACCCCCCCGCTCAGAATCACAGTTAAATAAGAGCAGTCATATGATAACAGTACAACAGCAGGATCAAGTGAGGTTTCGTGATATGGACAAAAGGCATCGATAGAGATTAGGGCATACTGGGGCTGACAGAAAGGCATACGAGTCAAAACAGGGAGGATTACGGCTGGACGAATGTGATAAAGGCCAGGTTTGGATCATAATATAACAGAGGCTTAGGGAGAATTTCTCAGCTCGGCTGAATTGTGAAACAAAGCCACAAGTTTAGTATGACTGAATCAATGTCCCAGCAGAGTCATACCGTTCATTCAGAGTGAAGCACAACTCTGAAAATCCAAGTGCTTGGAGACGACTTCTGCTGCTTTCACCAGAATGTCACCCCACGGAGACGGCTGTCACGCTCCTCCATGTGAATCGTGTCCATCGCAAGCCTTATGATTAGATCGCATGGCATGTATGTGACGCCGAAGGGGTAAAAATTTAACACTTTAACAATGTACAAAAAACCTTGGGAAGCTTTATCCGTGTGGACCCTGAAGTTTTGGCTTTGAGAAAGACGGGCGAATGCAAAAGTAGAAAGGAGATAATAATATAATTACAAACGCTCCCACTCCCATTACTGTAACCTGCCCAACACCACCTACTTTTCAACAGCACCTGGTAGCTTGGTAACAGGAGCAGCAGCGCAAGCAGTGGTTGCATCTCTGTGAGACTGTCTCCTGTTATGCGTTTTGTTTTATGTGTAAATGTATGTGTGTGTGTGTGTGTGTGTGTGTGTGTGTGTGTGTGTGTGTGTGTGTAAGCCAGGAAATCCACTTTCAGCTGAGTTTTTCCTGAGGTGGCTGTTAGCTCAGTATAAGACAAGCTGCTCAGATGGAACAGTGAAAAGTAAACAGCAGGGAGGAGAGAAAATAAGGAAACCATGAGGGTGAAACAGCAGTCAGCTCTCAAGATTTTTTTTCTGAAAGTTCTGATCGTGAAGCACCAAAAGTCCTGAGGGAGACCCGGACCCCACCCTGGACAAAGCCAGCCCAGCCAGGCAGGCAGGCAGGCAGGCAGGCAGGCAGGTAGGCAGGGTGGGTGGGTGCGTGGGAGGGAGGGTGCAGGGCAGGATTTATGCCAGCTGAAGGTGTCACACGGTAGCCCTGATAATCCTGCTGGGCCTGGAGCTGCGGTGGACTTTCGTGTGTTTGGATAAGTGGTCACTGCGGGCAAACTTCTTTTCACACAGCGAGCACTCGTAGGGCTTGATGCCGGAGTGAGAGCGGCGGTGGCGGGACAGTTCGTCTGATCGGGAGAACCTGGTGACACAAGAGCAGATGTAAGGACGTTTGAGGAGCACAGTTACTATGATATGCTTCAAGTTTTTCAAATTAGCCCACTAGCTAATATATCCATTATGTGATAAGAAGACAGGCACCAAATTAGTCCATGTCCCCTGCATGTGGTGAGTCTGGTGTTTATGGGCATAGACAGGAGTTTTATACCCACAGAAAGAATACAGCTCTTGGGCTCAGACTTTTTGCAGACCCCTTCAATCACTATGTTTTACCCTACTAGACTACAACTGCAGAATCAGGCCTCATTTACTATATATATTTACTTGCAGCAATAGTATTTTTATGCACTATACAAGACCAACAGAAGCCCCACAATTGTATGGAAAATGTGTTCATTGCATGTACAGTAAGAGTCCTACAATGCAATGCATGCACCGATGGATGAGTAAAATACAGCTACCAGACACCAAATCCATGATGATGATTCATAAGTGCCTGGGAACTAGGGCAGCATGATATGCAAAAAAAAAAAAAAAAAAAATCATATTGAGATTCTTTTGGCAGATATTGCGATTTCAGTTGGAATAATATTTTTTTCATTTTCACTGAAAAAAATATAAAAATGATGATGATGTGATTTTTGTTGGGTCTTAAGTGGCCAAACAAACAACGTCTGGAGAATATGATTTGTAGCCTCTGTAGCACCACAACGCTTATGGTGCTAACAATAGACAACACCTTTACTTTTATCAAAAAAAAACTGCAGCTCCTGTGATTTGGATATTGCACTCGGCCATATTGTGATTTTGATTATATTTTGATTCTTTGTGGAGCTATGCTTTTTACACAAATGACAGAACTGACCCACACTGATCGACACTGGCAGAGAAGGAGATGGGTGACGACAGACTGAGGAGGCTAAAAATCACTACTCACAAAACAAATACATGACTGCTCGGGTAAAACTGTTCCAATTTGCACCGTTTAGTTCAAAATAAAATGTTTTGAAATGTATGAATCAAATACTACTTTTTACCTTCTGTCTTTTTTTATCATTATTCATCCCTCTTATGCTGGGTAATGTTAAGTGATGGGTATGTTCAATGGTAAATGGACTGCATTTGTATGGCCTTTTCTAGTGTTGTCAACTCACCACTCAAAGTGTTTTACACCATAAACCACACTCATTTTCTTCTAACACACACACACACACTCATACAGCACTTTCTTCTAACACACACACACACACACACACACACACACACACACACACACACAGCACTTTCTTCTAACACAAATATTGACTGTTGTCACACACAATACAGAATGTGGAGATGTTATCATGGGCTGGAAAACTGTGACAGGCCTTTTTCAAAGATCTGATTGACTAAACAATAAACTGAAACTGAAAATGAACAGATAATTTAAACTACTAATAGTTGGGGTTGGGGCTCATCCACACTGAGATGAGACCATCGACACAGAAGGAACACACATTCGTTTGGCACGAAGTTTGAACGTGGCTCAAGTTTTGGTGCAACTCGATGTCACATCATCCAGCAAGGCACCGAGTTGGATAAACAAGTAGGCGCACATTCCTGTTGGATTACTATCGCTGAGACAGTGAATAAGATGATTGTCACTGTGATCTTTTTTTAGACTTCCTCATTGTATTATAAACCGCTGAGCATCTGATAAGCCTTCAAACTCATAGATCTGTTACTCAAACTGGTTTCATTCATTTCACTGGTACCTGAAGCAAAACAACTCAGAGGGCAGCCCCTGCCATCAACCAGTGGGGACACCCACTGGTTTAATCTTGACCTTAGAGGTGGGTGATCTGACCGTCGTATATTGTGGACGGTCTTACTTTACCATGTGATCTACTTTTCAGATGAATTGAACAGATCGTGCCATTAAAAAGGTGCTACATCTACATATTTCATTTTTCATGTTCAGTCGTAGCTAACCAGCCCATCATTAAACAGCTAGCCCGCTAATTGCAGCTGGAGACGGCACTCCTTGTTCCTCTTTGCAACCTTGCCGAGCTTAGTGTAGCCGCACATGTACCAACAGGAACTACCGTCACCAGCTGCAGTCCAAGACAGTGGAGTTGCCATCCGTCCGTGGGCTGTCAAAGTCAGGACTTTCAGAATAAAATCAGAGCGGGAACAGGATGCAGACATTTGTGAGTTGGGCCTTTGAGTTGAAGTGACAGGCTTTGTGTTCAGGCAGCCATATGCATGACGAGTCAGACTTGGGTTTCAGATCGTGGATAGCGATTCTACCTAAGAAGATTGATCTTGATCTTTTGGCTGGATCGCCCACCCCTGCTTGATTTTAAACTCTTAAACATTCTGTCACATACCTCCAGCCACACTCAGGCCAGCTGCACGTGTAGGGCTTCTCTCCTGTGTGCCGGCGGAAGTGAGCTTTCAGATGGCTGCTTTTGGTGTACATCTTCCCACAGCCTGGGTGGGAGCACTTATGGACCCTCTCTGTAGGTGGAACTCTGGTCACACGGGGGGCGATGGCCTTCAACAGACCGCTGCCCTGGACCCCGACCCCAGTCACACCTGTTATCTCTACAGTCCTCATTGTGATGGGCAGAGGCGCAATCTTCACGTACTTCTGGTCAGCTGACTTGGCATCTCCACTGTTTAGTGATAAAAATGTGGTGGAGGTGGAGGGCACCTGGGGGGTCAGTAGGGTGAGATTTTGTCCTGTAGCACCCTGGAGCCCCATGACGAGATGAGTGAGCCAAATGCCGTTTTGTGACCCAGGAGGAGAGCCTGCCGGGGGCTGAGGCTGGGCCAGAGGGAGCGGCTGGAGCTGGAGAACCAGCGGAGCGCCCAGGAGCACTGGGGGGGTTACAGTGGATGGTGAGGGGGTTGCTTGGGCAGAAGGGGAAGGGTCAGCTGGGCTGGGACTGTTCTGCTCATTATGGGGGGTGTTTGGGCTGGAAGAGCAATGGGAAGCACTAGTCCCTGGGTCACTGCAAGTGTCTGAGGAAGAGGCCTGGGGCGCACTGGAGGATGGAGAGTCACTGGTGCTGCATGGGAGAGGGGAAGCCTCCTCTTTTGGGGCCACTAGCCCCTCTTTGACTAGTTCCATCTTTTCCCTCAAGAACTCCTCTATGTCCTCCAAGGTCGGGGAGAACGGGGAGGAGGGATGGAAAGGGAAATCTGGCAGCTTTGGCTCCTGACTCGCAGGCTCCTCTTCTCCTGCTGCTCCTAGAAAAATATGCAGACGCGCCCCATCGTCCTCGTCTTCTTCCTCCTCCTCATCCTCCTCCTCCTCCTCCTCCTCCTCTCCGGGGCTGGAGCTGTGCATAGCCCCCAAGTCCCCTGCCTCGGGGCTGTCGCAGGAGGCTAAACTGCCCCGTTCGCTGCAGGCTCCGTCTCCCAGGCTGAGGGAGAAGAGGCTGCTGCTGCTGCTGTCCCTGAACAGGTCATTCTCCAGACTCAGTGTTCTGCTGCTGAGAGACACCATTGATCCAGGCTGAACACAGGAGAGAGGATGTTGAGGAAATTCTACCGAGAGGAATCACAAGAACCTGCAGAGGAAACATGGAGACAGGATTTTATTACCCAGCAGAAATGAGTTATCTCAATTCCCAGATTCCTTTTTTGAGCTTGTAGTTTGAGCTGGCTCAGGTGAGCCCTGAACCAGCCCTTAGTTGTGCTGCTACAGGCCTACTGCTGGGGATCTCCCATGATGCACTGAGCACTTCTTCCTTCTCTCTCCATGCATTTACATGACATTACTGCATATCATTAACTTTGCATTTTCTCTCTCCTGTAGTTTGTGCTTCTCTCTCTGTCTCTCTCTCTCTCTCCTCATTCTGCAGGTGTCTCTGACTCTGGAGCTGCAGGATCCAGATCTGACACTACAACACTCATTATTATTATTATTATTATTATTGATTGGTAGTGCTATCATTGCTGCTGTTCTTACTGATGACACCATTACAACTATGGGAACCACTATTATTATTTTCAGTCCAAACAGCTGTTCCTGGTCTCTCTCTCTTCTCTCTCTCCCTCCTCTTTCAGTAGGCCTTCTGCCTCGACCCACCCTGAGTCTGGTTCTGTTGGAGGGTCCTTCCTGTTAAAGGGAGATTTTCCTCTCCACTGTCACCACATGCTGCTCATAGTTGGAGCTGTTGCGTTTCTCTCTATAATATTGTAAGGTCTTGAGATAATATATGTTGTGATTTGGTGCTATACAAATAAAATTGAATTGAAATTTACATATATTTCAGAAGTAAATCTATCCCACAGGAAACTGGTTCACCTGGTTCTTAGAGACTTCATTTTTAACCTTGTTTTTTTTAACTTAATTTTGCTGCATCGTATTTTATTACTTGTCAGATTGTGACACCTTTCCATTTTTCCACTTTTAGACAAAGTAAAGTGAAGTTCCATTCACTTCTAAAGCATTAACTAGTGCTAGGTGATATGGTTGAATACTGGCAACACAGATTACTACATATAACAAATATAAGACAAATCATGTACGAAATAACCAGATTTATGCTCAATACAACGAACTGTGTTCCACTGTTATGTTTTCAGACTCACGCATGTCAAACCATAAATAACTCATTTTCTTATAACTAATAAATGCTCAGAATAACACAATACGCTCATACCTCTACTATATCTTGATACATGATAACTTTGAATCATTGCACAGTCCTACCATGAACTCAAGTTTCAGATTTGATCTTTTACTTAAAGTCATCTGCCAGTGTGCACACATCAGGAGAAAATGTGGATTTAGTGCCTTGCTCAGGGACACTTCAACAGGAAGAGCTGGTGATCTAAACACCAACCTTAAGATTAATGGCCAACCAGCCATGCACAGGTTACCCCTGTTTGAGGGCCCCTGGAAGAAAGTTTGCACTTGGGCCCCTGCTGAGCCATGTATATAGATCCTGCCAAAATAAGGTAATAACACAAGACCGGCCTTGGTTGACATTGCACATTCTTTAACTAATAATTAGCACTTGTCTGAGTTGTAATCATACAAATATGTATTTTACCTGGGGCAGCAGCAAAAGCTATAAGAAAAACATATATATGATAAATATTTGACTGCGCACATTTCTAGTATGTAAAAAGTTAAACTTAAATTAGCTAGGGCCCCCGGGAGTTTTTCTCGGTCCTCTATGAAGCCTGCAGATGCTACATTTGAGTCCAAACAGACAGCGCTCACAGTGGGGAGATAATCCCCTTTTGCTTATGTAAAGGATGTTTGTTGCTGCTGTCACACCGTCAGGCACATGTTGCAGCAGGGCCTCGGACTTGACACAGGGCAAGAACACGGCGCTGTAAAAAAAAAAAAAAAAAAAAAAAAAACCCAAAAAAAAAAAAAAAAAAAAACACGTATCACACTGACGCGCCCAGAACCATATGGTGAGCAAAACTCACCCCGAGGAAACAATCGGCCCGTGAACGCGTCTAAAACATTATGTAAAGGAGGAGCGGTCGACAACATGGCAATCCGCCTGGGTGCAACTGCGCCTGCAAAGGAATCCACGAGCCTCAAGTTCGACTGGGTCAAAAATGTTCTATTAATACTCCTCCGTGTCTCCGGATGAACCGAGCAGGAGAATCCCGGACATTTGGCTCGACCTACCGTGAGTAGTTCGGAGGAAGCTCGGTGGGGGAAAGCTGCGCCGTCGATGGGTTTGTATATTTTCGTGTTTCCTTTTTCCTCCGTCGTGTTATTGTCGTAGCACACTCACATCCCGTCCTTGCCACGGGTCCATGTTGGCATTCCTTTTCCTAGCGTCACGTGACAGCATCGCTGCACAACTCGGAGGCACGGGTCCTGTTCTGCGCTCCTGATTGGCCGAGCGCGGCGGAGGCTCGCCCTAAAAGGAGCGCTCTGATTGGCTGCCGCTCGATAAATTCTGACTGCCATGTGTTGATGGAGGGATCCCTATAGCTCGACTTAAACAGGATACAATGTGGCCTTTGATGTTGTACACAGAGGGGGTGGACCAAATAATTTCAGCAACTATTACTGTAACAACTATAAGCAAGACCCAGGCTTTCCATGAGAGCAGCTTCAGTGCTCTTCATCCTGCATCCTGAAAACCTGTTGTTGTTCATAAGAGGAAAGAGGAGAAAATCTGTTCTGCTGTTATATATAACAAGTTTATCCTTTAGGACAGTGGTTCCCAACCTGTGGGCCGTGAAGATATTGCAAGTGGGCCAACAAAAATCATTTGCAAAACAGTTTGGTGAAAAGATGTAGCCTAATCATACAATCATACATATATATATATACAGTATATAACAATAACAATGATCTTTAAAAACATTGTAAATGTTTTAAACCTACTTTCATTGTTTCACTGTGATACAGCGATGATAGGAACTCTTTTGTTGTCTCTGGCCGGACTACATTGTGTTCTTGTTTGCTATCTCAGTCTGATTGCGTGCTAAAATATGACATTCATTGCAAAAACTGGAGTATCAAAATGGTTAGCTGGTTAGCAACAGGAAGCGTTAAAAGGAAAGAGTCCAGAGATAGATGATGAATGTTCAATCATAAAAAGTGCCCTAAGGATGCATTATTTGGCCTCTGTATTGTAACAGGGTCGGATGTGGACAGCCAACATCTTTGAGATTTTCAAGTGGACCATGAGTTGGAAAAGATTGGTAACCGCTGCTTTAGGATAATACCCTCAAGATGAGCCAGGTTGTTTTCAAGAGGGTCCTAACATACAATACAAATAAACATGAAAACACAACAAAACAAAATTCAACAAGCACACAACAGTTAAGACAATAAATACGCAAACATCGAAAAAACAAGTACAATGGCGAACACAACCACTAAATGGCTGTAGAGAGGCCGTGAACAAACGCATGCCCAGCAAAACTAACATAATGTGTATAAATAAAATTTGCTGTGTTTTGTATACTGTATACAGAAATGAAACCAAATCATCTGAAACATGAACAAATATTCTCAAGATAAGAAGACACACTCTATTTAAACATGTGGAATGATGTTCTGGTTCTTTTGCTGAAGCCAGTGAATGTGTCCTCATATTGAGTGGAGGCTTGAGACTAAACTAAACATCTTCTTTTTGTGTTGCAGAGATAACACCTACACCCTTTAATAGCAGACACATGGAACTAGTTTGTATTCAATTTTAAGCTGGTACTGGCTTAAAAGATCTCCAAGATACAGACTGAAATGTCAGAAATGTTACAACCATTTGGGTCTCCCCTACTGAGAGGAAAGAGGTTAGTTTTAGATGCGTTTTTTAATATTTTTTATTTTTGCCTTTATTTTTGACTATTTTTGATTTTACAGTGAGATAGACAGGAAAGTCTGAGAAAGCGAGAGAGAGAGAGAGAGAGAGAGAGGGGATGACATCCAGCAAAAGCCCATGGGTCGGATTCGAACCCATAAGTCCATGTGGTACAAGCTTTACCAGGTGAGCCACTGAGGTGCCTCCTTTAGATGCATTTCGATAAACAACATCGGTATCAACATCAGTCAAAAAATTTGGTTAAGTATAAGTTGTGATGCATGTTTCCTCTGGACACTAAGCATGAAACAATTTCTGGACCGAAATAGAGCACTGCTTCCAAAATGAAGTTTGAGTAGAACATGATCAATGTGATGTTTAATGGTAAGTTCAGTGTCAAGCCATAAACCCAAGTACTTAATTTGATCAACTGTGCAGACTAGTACCATCATTATGTGTTATTATTAGATTATTAGATTCTGGCTCTGTCTAGTACCAAAAAACATAGTGTATGATTTTGCTTTATTAAGTAATAGTTTATCACATTAGAGCCAGTTTGTGCTGCAGAAGAAGCTACTCTACTTGAATTTTTTTATTCGTGGAGGCATATTTGTACCCAGGCACCTGATAGTTGCTATTCAACAGGTATGCGGAGAAATATTCAGAATTACGTGATTCTCATTTTGGGGCTGAAAAGCTTCCTGTTTTGGCTCCTTCAAATACAAATGTAAAAAATTGCAGAGATGACTCATCAGACCTCTGTTTTGTTCAGTTCACTCCGTGTGTTGTTTTTCTTTTTGTGTGCTGACCTTCACTCACTTGTGGTGTCTGAAAAGCAACACCTCAAGGACCCCAACCAACACATCCTTGACTGAGTTAACAAGAAAAAGTCTCCACTGAGGTCGTAAGTGATGTTCAATGACAGCAAGGTAATGGTTCAGAAATCAAATATACAGGGAAAGCATGAATGATACACTATACAACACACACTTAGCGTCAGTGTGTTTCTTATGTTTATATTTTAAGTGTCTGTTGTCATCAGGACTGAGCTGATGCTGATGCGTTTCATTTTTTATTCACAAAAAAGCAGAAAAAAAACAAAAACTATAATATATACTGTAACTCTGGGCCCATAAAAGAGGTCAACACAATTGAAAAGAAAGAGACTCCTCTAAACGTTATTATATTAAGTTATTCAAAATTCCCTCTCTTCATC